GGGGGGGGGGGGGGGGGGGGGGGGGGGGTTGGCAGGACTACAGCTTTGTTAAATCATTTCTGAAAAGAAAACCGTACTTCACGGGACAGTAAAGAAGAAATAAATGAAATATAATTGACAACAGTGTTATGAGTGTAAAACATTTAGCTGAGCCAGACTGGGAATCAAACCCGAGACTTCAGAATGGCTCTAACCGATTGAGGTGTCTGATCAGTGGAGGTGTTCTGGCCCAACTGTGCTACAGTTATATCAAAACAGAAGTTAAGGGGAGGTACCAATAAAGGAAAAAGCACAATGCAGTGGGATAGGGATCCTTAAAGAAGTTAAGGGGAGGTTACTGTATATAGGAAAAAACACAATGCAGTGGGACAGGGATCCTTAAGGAAGTTAAGGCGAGGTTACTGTATATAGAGAAAAACAATGCAGTGGGACAGGGATCCTTAAGGAAGTTAAGGGGAGGTTACTGTATATAGGAAAAACCACAATGCAGTGGGACAGGGATCCTTAAGGAAGTTAAGGCGAGGTTACTGTATATAGAGAAAAACAATGCAGTGGGACAGGGATCCTTAAGGAAGTTAAGGGGAGGTTACTGTATATAGGAAAAACCACAATGCAGTGGGACAGGGATCCTTAAGGAAGTTAAGGCGAGGTTACTGTATATAGGAAAAAACACAATGCAGTGGGACAGGGATCCTTAAGGAAGTTAAGGGGAGGTTACTGTATATAGGAAAAAACACAATGCAGTGGGACAGGGATCCTTAAGGAAGTTAAGGGGAGGTTACTGTATATAGGAAAAAACACAATGCAGTGGGACAGGGATCCTTAAGGAAGTTAAGGGGAGGTTACTGTATATAGGAAAAAACACAATGCAGTGGGACAGGGATCCTTAAGGAAGTTAAGGGGAGGTTACTGTATATAGGAAAAAACACAATGCAGTGGGACAGGGATCCTTAAGGAAGTTAAGGGGAGGTTACTGTATATAGGAAAAAACACAATGCAGTGGGACAGGGATCCTTAAGGAAGTTAAGGGGAGGTTACTGTATATAGGAAAAAACACAATGCAGTGGGACAGGGATCCTTAAGGAAGTTAAGGGGAGGTTACTGTATATAGGAAAAAACACAATGCAGTGGGACAGGGATCCTTAAGGAAGTTAAGGGGAGGTTACTGTATATAGGAAAAAACACAATGCAGTGGGACAGGGATCCTTAAGGAAGTTAAGGGGAGGTTACTGTATATAGGAAAAAACACAATGCAGTGGGACAGGGATCCTTAAGGAAGTTAAGGGGAGGTTACTGTATATAGGAAAAACCACAATGCAGTGGGACAGGGATCCTTAAAGAAGTTAAGGGGAGGTTACTGTATATAGGAAAAAACACAATGCAGTGGGACAGGGATCCTTAAGGAAGTTAAGGGGAGGTTACTGTATATAGAAAAAACACAATGCAGTGGGACAGCTGATTCTTAAATTTTCATTTGTTTTCAGTGTTAAAATTCTCATTTATTTCCAGTATTTTTTCCTCTTTGATTTTACAGCAGCCTGCTTCTACATGAATTGGAAAATATAGGGCCTGTATCACTCACCTGTATAAAACTAGACAACAAGAGGCCCATAGGGCCTGTATCGCTCACCTGTATAAAACTAGACAACAAGAGGCCCATAGGGCCTGTATCGCTCACCTGTATAAAACTAGACAACAAGAGGCCCATAGGGCCTGTATCGCTCACCTGTATAAAACTAGACAACAAGAGGCCCATAGGGCCTGTATCGCTCACCTGTATAAAACTAGACAACAAGAGGCCCATAGGGCCTGTATCGCTCACCTGTATAAAACTAGACAACAAGAGGCCCATAGGGCCTGTATCGCTCACCTGGATAACTTAGCAATCATGGCAGAATATTCTCCAAATGAGATCCATGGGAATATGCCAGACCCCAAGGCCAATCCTTGTAGCATATATATCTGTATTTTTCATGCCCAGCAATTTTATGTATGGTTATGGGGTGGGGATCTAAACTGTTTCCAATCTGTGACTCAGAAACTAGGTCCCTATATATGGTTGAGGCCAGACCCCAGGATCAATTCTAATATCATGACTGCATTTGTCTCTTTTTGCCCAGCATTTGTATATATAGTTTTGGGGTGGGGATCTCAACCATTTCAAAGTTATGACCCAGGGGTTAAGTCTGCAAGGGTGGGGCAAACCCTGGGATCAATTCTAATATCATGACTGCATTTGTCTCTTTATGCCCAACAATTGTATATATAGTTTTGGGGTGGGGATCTTAACCATTTCAAAGTTATGACCCAGGCGTTAAGTCTCCTAGGGTGGGGCAGTCACCAAGGCCATCCTGGAAGCATATGTGCGTTCATCTTTTTATACTCAGCAATTGTCTATATGGTTATATGAATGCTTCCGACCAAATATGATCGATATCCAGTGCTGGTTCTACAGAAGAAGTCGTTTATAGCAATCTAGCAAAATTGCCCCCTTTTGGCCCCGCCCTCAGCCCTCTGGGGGTCAGCCCCACCATTTGTACAATTTTGAATCCCTGCATCCCATATATGCTTTTGATTAAATATGATTGANCGCTTAAAGCAATATAGCCAAATAACCCTTTTTGGCCCCACCCCTCAGCCCCCTGGGGGGTCAGCCCAACCATTTGTACAATTTTGAATCTCCACAACCTAGGGATGCTTCCAGTCTAATATGGTTGATATCCATCACTTAGTTCCAGGGAAGAAATCGCTTAAAGCAATATAGCCAAATAACCCTTTTTGGCCCCACCCCTCAGCCCCCTGGGGGGTCAGCCCAACCATTTGTACAATTTTGAATCTCCACAACCTAGGGATGCTTCCAGTCTAATATGGTTGATATTCATCACTTAGTTCCAGAGAGGAAGTCGCTGAAAGCAGTTTAGCCAAATTGCCCCCTTTTTGCCCCGCCCCTCAGCCCCCTGGGGGGTCAGCCCCACCATTTGTACAATTTTAAATCCCCTCCACCTAGGGATGCTTCCAGTCAAATTTAGTTAAATTCCAATCAGTGGTTAAGAAGAAGAAGTCGTTTAAAGAAATTGTTGACGGATGGACGACAGACGACGGATGGACGACGGACGACGGACGGACGGACAACGGACGCAACGGTATGGCATAAGCTCACCTTGGTCCTTTGGACCAGGTGAGCTAAAAAACAATCACTGATTTCTCTCTTTACCTCCAATAACTGTGCCACTAATCGTGAAGAACATCTCCAGGTATTTGCCGAACCGACTGGAGTTGTCGTTGATGACCGTCTTGGCGTTACCGAATGCCTCCATTAGAGGGTTCACCTGTAGAATTCGCTCCTCAAGTGTTCTGTTACCAGCCTGTCAACAATTCTTATAGTCAGAACTACAGCCTGACACAGTCAACAGTTCTTATAGTCAGAACTACAGCCTGCCACAGTCAACAATGCTTATAGTCAGAACTACAGCCTGCCACAGTCAACAGTTCTTATAGTCAGAACTACAGCCTGACACAGTCAAAAATTCTTATAGTCAGAACTACAGCCTGCCACAGTAAACAATTCTTATAGTCAGAACTACAGCCTGCCACAGTAAACAATTCTTATAGTCAGAACTACAGCCTGCCACTGTCAACAATTCTTATAGTCAGAACTACAGCCTGGCACAGTCAACAATTCTTATAGTCAGAACTACAGCCCGCCACAGTCAACAATTCTTATAGTCAGAACTACAGTCTTACACAGTCGGCGTTACCGAATGCCTCCATTAGAGGGTTCACCTGTAGAATTCGCTCCTCAAGGGTTCTGTTACCAGCCTGTCAACAATTCTTATAGTCAGAACTACAGCCTGGCACAGTCAACAATTCTTATAGTCAGAACTACAGTCTGACACAGTCAACAATTCTTATAGTCAGAACTACAGCCCGACACAGTCAACAATTCTTATAGTCAGAACTACGGCCTGCCACAGTCAACAATTCTTATAGTCAGAACTATAGCCTGCCACAGTCAACAATTCTTATAGTCAGAACTATAGCCTGCCACAGTCAACAATTCTTATAGTCAGAACTACAGACTGACACAGTCAACAATTCTTATAGTCAGAACTCCAGCCTGCCACAGTCAACAATTCTTATAGTCAGAACTACAGGCTGACACAGTCAACAATTCTTATAGTCAGAACTCCAGCCTGACACAGTCAACAATTCTTATAGTCAGAACTACAGACTGACACAGTCAACAATTCTTATAGTCAGAACTCCAGCCTGCCACAGTCAACAATTCTTATAGTCAGAACGACAGCCTGCCACAGTCAACAAGTCTTATAGTCAGAACTACAGCCTGACACAGTCAACAATTCTTATCGTCAGAACTACAGCCTGACACAGTCAACAATTCCTATAGTCAGAACTACAGCCTGCCACAGTCAAAAATTCTTATAGTCAGAACTACAGCCTGCCACAGTAAACAATTCTTATAGTCAGAACTACAGCCTGCCACAGTAAACAATTCTTATAGTCAGAACTACAGCCTGCCACAGTAAACAATTCTTATAGTCAGAACTACAGCCTGCCACAGTAAACAATTCTTATAGTCAGAACTACAGCCCGCCACAGTCAACAATTCTTATAGTCAGAACTACAGCCCGACACAGTCAACAATTCTTATAGTCAGAACTACGGCCTGCCACAGTCAACAATTCTTTTGTCAGAACTACAGCCTGACACATTCAACAATTCTTATAGTCAGAACTACAGCCTGCCACACTCAACAATTCTTATAGTCAGAACTACAGCCTGACCCAGTCAACAATTCTTATAGTCAGAACTACAGGCTGACACAGTCAACAATTCTTATAGTCAGAACTCCAGCCTGCCACAGTCAACAATTCTTATAGTCAGAACTACAGCCCGACACAGTCAACAATTCTTATAGTCAGAACTACAGCCCGACACAGTCAACAATTCTTATAGTCAGAACTACGGCCTGCCACAGTCAACAATTCTTTTGTCAGAACTACAGCCTGACACAGTCAACAATTCCTATAGTCAGAACTACAGCCTGCCACAGTCAAAAATTCTTATAGTCAGAACTACAGCCTGACACAGGCAACAATTCTTATAGTCAGAACTACAGCCTGCCAGTCAACAATTCTTATAGTCAGAACTACAGCCCGACACAGTCAACAATTCTTATAGTCAGAACTACGGCCTGCCACAGTCAACAATTCTTATAGTCAGAACGACAGCCTGACACAGTCAACAATTCTTATAGTCAGAACTACAGACTGACACAGTCAACAATTCTTATAGTCAGAACTACGGCCTGCCACAGTCAACAATTCTTATAGTCAGAACTATAGCCTGCCACAGTCAACAATTCTTATAGTCAGAACTATAGTCTGACACAGTCAACAATTCTTATAGTCAGACCTACAGCCTGCCACAGTCAACAATTCTTATAGTCAGAACTACAGACTGACACAGTCAACAATTCTTATAGTCAGAACTACGGCCTGCCACAGTCAACAATTCTTATAGTCAGAACTACAGCCCGACACAGTCAACAATTCTTATAGTCAGAACTACGGCCTGCCACAGTCAACAATTCTTATAGTCAGAACGACAGTCTGACACAGTCAACAATTCTTATAGTCAGAACTCCAGCCTGCCACAGTCAACAATTCTTATAGTCAGAACTATAGTCAGAACTACAGCCTGACACAGTCAACAATTCCTATAGTCAGAACTACAGCCTGCCACAGTCAAAAATTCTTATAGTCAGAACTACAGCCTGACACAGTCAAAAATTCTTATAGTCAGAACTACAGCCTGCCACAGTCAACAATTCTTTTAGTCAGAACTACAGCCTGACACAGTCAACAATTCTTATAGTCAGAACTACAGCCTGACACAGTCAACAATTCTTATAGTCAGAACTACAGCCTGCCACAGACAACAATTCTTATAGTCAGAACTACAGCCTGTCACAGTCAACAATTCTTATCACTACAGGCACCAATATAAAGCAAATGAGATCCAACATTCATGTAAGTTCAAAAGGTTCAATAGCCTTTCATGGATTCCTAATAGAATTCAGTCCAGCACAAATTGTAATCAAAATTCAAAGTAAAGATGACAGGAAAACATCTACTTGAAAGTAATCAGCAATATTTATTACAATGTTGACATGTTTCGAAACACAGGAGTTCCATCATCAGAACCAGAACCAGAATCTGATGACAGCACACCTAGTGTTACGAAACATGTCAACGTGGTAATATATATTGCCGATTACCTTCAAGTAGATATTGACCTGTCATCTTTACTTTGAATTACAGACAACAAACCTTAAAGAATACTGACAAACCTGCACATGTGATCACATGATATTTTTCCAGTAGCATGCTAACGAATATTGCTGGCCTTGTTCCAAGGTCACAGGGGTCAAATGCATTAAAATGTTGAAATGACTTCTTCACAATAACCAGAACACTCAGGAAAATCCTATTATGCTAGTAGCATGCTGGGATGAAGGGCTGCTAACTTTGTAAAAATGAATTTCAATATCACTTTTCGTTTTTTAGCTTACCTATTCCTTTTTAAATCAGCAACCATTCATCAAATCTATTTATAAAACCAATCTTTCCTGAGCGGCAGTAAAATGCTGCCACAAGAGACCAAGCCACAGTGAAATGAATTTCCTGTCATGCATCTGTTACACTCCCATCTGGAGAACGATTTCAGTCACTTACTACAGCAAAACCTCATCCCATTACCATTCAGGAAGTTCATTGTAAACACACCATGTTTTGAGTACTGACCTTGTAAACACGCCATGTTTTGAGTACTGATCTTGTAAACACGCCATGTTTTGAGTACTGACCTTGTAAACACACCATGTTTTGAGTATAGTGACCTTGTAAACACGCCATGTTTTGAGTACTGACCTTGTAAACACACCATGTTTTGAGTATAGTGACCTTGTAAACACGCCATGCTTGGGTACTGACCTTGTAAACACACCATGTTTTGAGTACTGACCTTGTAAACACACCATGTTTGAGTACTGACCTTGCCAAGCTGGGTCAGCTGCTGTACCATGAGGTTGGCACTCTCTGTCTTCCCCGCTCCAGATTCTCCACTGATCACAATGCACTGCAAGGTAGAAAACATATTAGAAGGTTTCTGATGGCTTTTCTCCACGTCACTGACAATGTAAATGTGATAAAAAACAATTTCCGAAGCATTGAATACCCAAATAATTCCTATTCTCACCATCTACCTCAAGGGAGACAACTGATCTGATGTAACCACCTCAAGGGAGACAACTGATCTGGTGTAACCACCTCAAGAAAGACAAATAACCTGGTGCATCTACCTCAAGGGAGACAACTGATCTGGTGTAACCACCTCAAGGGAGACAACTGATCTGGTGTAACCACCTCAAGAGAGACAACTGATCTGGTGTAACCACCTCAAGGGTGACAACTAATCTGGTGCATATTCCTCAAGAAAGACAAATAACCTGGTGCATCTACCTCAAGGAAGACAACTGATCTGGTGTAACCACCTCAAGGGAGACAACTGATCTGGTGCATCTACCTCAAGGGAGACAACTGATCTGGTGCATCTTTCTCCACGTCACTGACAATGTAAATGTGATAAAAAACAATTTCCGAAGCATTGTATACCCAAATAATTCCTATTCTCACCATCTACCTCAAGGGAGACAACTGATCTGATGTAACCACCTCAAGGGAGACAACTGATCTGGTGTAACCACCTCAAGAAAGACAAATAACCTGGTGCATCTACCTCAAGGGAGACAACTGATCTGGTGTAACCACCTCAAGGGAGACAACTGATCTGGTGTAACCACCTCAAGAGAGACAACTGATCTGGTGTAACCACCTCAAGGGTGACAACTAATCTGGTGCATATTCCTCAAGAAAGACAAATAACCTGGTGCATCTACCTCAAGGAAGACAACTGATCTGGTGTAACCACCTCAAGGGAGACAACTGATCTGGTGCATCTACCTCAAGGGAGACAACTGATCTGGTGCATCTACCTCAAGGAAGACAATTGATCTGGTGTAACCATCTCAAGGGTGACAACTGATCTGGTGTAACCACCTCAAGGGAGACAACTGATCTGGTGCATCTACCTCAAGGAAGACAACTGATCTGGTGTAACCATCTCAAGGGAGACAACTGATCTGGTGCATTTGTATACATTGATTAATGGCTATATGAACTTCCTGAAAGTTACAATTCAAAAAAAACACTTTCTTCTGTTCTTACCATGAAAGTGTAACATCACAGGGGAGATAACTGACCTGGTGCTTTTTGTAGTGCATCATCATTTGATACGATTGGTCAGCTACAGCGTATATGTGGGGAGGATTAGCATCTTTGGCCGCATTCATGTACATTTTGGAATACTGAAATAAAAAAAGGAATGGATCACTATACACAAAAGAGTTCTCTTCATATAACATAGGAATCGGAGACTTAAGTGACACGTTAATGGTTGAACATTTTATGTTATGAAACCCTGCAAATTATGAATGAAGCTTCAAAGTACATTACATTAAACAGAATGTTTTAGTCGTGAGAAGTTGGAACTGGTCAGCTGACTTAAATAGCATTTCCAATTATATTATTGCATGTACAGGTCTAATCATTTCTGGAAAAAAACTTTGAACAGTTCAGGATGAAAGTCTGCAAACAATGCTGATGATCACCTACATACACAAGTTCCAGGTCTTACATCCTCTGACCTTATTTGGAAACAGTAATGATATACAACACTGATGAAGTACAGTACCTGGTTACCCATACGCTAATATACAATTTAGTGAACATCATAAGAGAAAACCTAGCTTTCACTGGCTGTAATTGGATCCAACTTGCAACCCTGAAATGAGACGTTCCAGATAAACCCTTCAGCAGTTTAATAACTGCCCAGCTGGCTAAATGTAATGGACTATATTTCTTCTACAACTGACCAATGTAGGTTAAAATCCCTTCACCAGTACTAAAGGAGTAGGTTTCCCTTATTGAGCCTCAGCCCTCTACCCTAAGGGGGATACATCCTCCAGTAATTGATACATTGTTGAGTCCCCTTAACTCAGTAATGCTCCCCAATAGATTTGGTCAAAATCCATTCAGCCCTTGTGCTTAGGAAGACTTTTTAAGACAGTTTCCTTAAAACTACCTCATCATTGTAGATGTTTATGGGCTGAAACGGATTCACTGCCAACAGGATGTCCCCGATGTAGGTGTAGATTTCCTCATCTTTATAGCGACTTCGCAACTGAGATACAATCACTCCCTGTAAACAGATAACATAAAAACAATCACTCCCTGTAAACAAATCACATACAACAATCACTCCCTGTAAACAAACAACATAAAACAATCACTCACTGTAAACAGATCACATACAACAATCACTCCCTGTAAAAAGATCACATACAACAATCACTCCCTGTAAACAAACTACATAAAACAATCACTCCCTGTAAACAGATCACAGACAACAATCACTCTGTGTAAAAAGATCACATACAACAATCACTCCCTGTAAACAGACAACATACAACAATCACTCCCTGTAAACAGACAACATATAACAATCACTCCCTGTAAACAGATCACATACACCAATCACTCCCTATAAACAGACAACATACAATAATCACTCCCTGTAAACAGACAACATATAACAATCACTCCCTGTAAACAGATCACATACAACAATCACTCCCTGTAAACAGACAACATAAAACAATCACTCCCTGTAAACAGATCACATACAACAATCACTCCCTGTAAACAGATCACATACAACAATCACTCCCTGTAAACAAACTACATAAAACAATCACTCCCTGTAACAGATCACAGACAACAATCACTCCGTGTACAAAGATCACATACAACAAGCACTCCCTGTAAACAGACAACATACAACAATCACTCCCTGTAAACAGACAACATATAACAATCACTCCCTGTAAACAGATCACATACACCAATAACTCCCTGTAAACAGATCACATACAACAATCACTCCCTGTAAACAGATCACAAACAACAATCACTCCCTGTAAACAGACAACATAAAACAATCACTCCCTGTAAACAGATCACATACAACAAACAATTTGTTTTACATCAAGAAACAAACTAAAGCCTAACATTATATCACCGACCTCATCAAGGATCTCAAGTGTGGCCAGATCTTCCGTGGATTTCACTGTGTCCCCTCGTTTGGACTTCCGATGGGACTTTGGGCGTCCCTTCTTGACTGTGACATCAGGTTGGTGTACAGTCTGGTCCATACTGGATGTCAGGTCATGAAGCTTCCTCTGATACTAAAACAAACAGAAAAGACTCGCACAACTAAATCAGCCAATCAGCAAATGTTTCATACAATTGCAATCCCTACCTTAAAAGATTTTGTATTGAAGGAAATTTTCAGATATCTAACTTTGGAAAAATGTCTAGCTTTAGTAGATTTTAACACATGAAGGCGGATTCATATGGGGTAAAAAGTCAGGGTGTGTTCCTGTCCCTTTTCACCATGCAGTTAGGCTTGTGAACTACTGGTTGTCAAAAGCAGAGTTTCAAAGTTATTCGCAGTTATCCTGCCACTTTTTTGAATATTAATGAGGTTGACGTCAGCGTGTGTTGACTGTGAAAAACTTTGAAACTCTGAAATGGCGTATTTTTGGAGGAAACAAAGTTTATGCCATCGGAAGGAGAATACATTTTGTGTGCATGTAGGTTTTTAAAAGAAAAAAAATCCAACTTTCTAACAGTACTGAGCATTTTCCTAGAAAATATTGTTTTTGATGCAAGAAAGTTAGGTGGGGTTGACATTTCGACATCAAGAGCTTTCCTCCATTCTCCTATATAGATCATTGGGGTGTCATTTTTACCGAAAGTATGTAGGTATTACGGTGTAAATTAATTGTTTACCCTATCAGAGTTAACTAACCCCATTAATTATCAGTAAATATGCACAAATCACTTCGGTTGGCAAACTTAGCATGAGTCAGATGTGCATACGGAATTTGGTTGAAATATCTGCACAATATCTACTGCAATTATCACACGAAAACCAAAGGGTGTCCGAGATGGGTGGAAAGACAGAAGAACACAAACATTGTTATCAAGTTTGAAGGAATTAGGCTAATATTTGCTAGAGTTATTAAGTGGAAACTGAAGATAATAACGTATTTCGTTAATCAAGGGGCCATAACTCTGCCAAATGGAATCTGATTATAGTGGTTGTCAAACTTGGCCGAGCCCTTAATGCGTTGAACCCTGTTACTAAGTTTGAAGACAATCGGATAATATTTGCGAGAGTAAATGAACAGAAACTGCAGTTAATGATGTTTTTCGTTATTCAAGGGGCCATTACTCCGCCAAATAAAGTCCGCTGAAGTGGTCATCGAACTTGGCTGAGTCCTTAAGCTATTTAACCCTGTTACCAATTTTGCAAAAAATTGGTTAACATTTGTTGCAGTTATTGCATGGAAACGAAGCGTGACAGACAGACAGACTGATCGACAGATGGACAGACTGACTGATCGACAGATGGACAGACTGATAGACAGACAGAAGGACACACCCAAATTAATATCCCCCTTTATGGTGAAAGCGGGGGATAAAAATCCTAATTGCTGAAATGATAAGGGGAAATAACCACAACAAGCCATCATAATTTTTCTATTTTCATCAGTATTGATATGAAAATCCTACTAACTGAAATGATAAGGGGGGATAACTCACAAGTCATCATAATTTCTAAAAAAAATCGATGCAATAAAAATGACAATGAAACTTATCTCTACTACTGAATATGAGACACAGGAGTAATATTGATATTTAAATGGTGGGCAACACAGATCACGATAAACGTAAAAAAAATAATCTGAGATTATGGCAGTTAAACTTACCACACTTGTTTCAGCTGCAACTTGCTGTATAAAAGGATGATTCAACAAGTCTCTAGCCTGAGGTCGCAGTTCAAAGTCCTTTATAAGGCACCTGTAACAAAAATCACAATTAACCCTTTCACCCCTATGTAACTTTAGTAGACTCTACCACGCATTAATATGGATGAGTCTATTATGGTGGTGAAAGGGTTAAGGACATATGCTACCTTAATTTCAATTACATGCCATGAAAAAGGAATTCTGAAAATAACCTTATAGGAAATGGTTTATGTACCTATACAATGACAGGAATTATTGGTGTTTCTGATTTTGATGGACACAAAAATTCATACATTGATGAGAATAAAAAAAAATCCTGGTTATGGATAAAATTCTGACTAAAAGGAAATATAACTCCTACAAATTAAAGATACAATGAATTTCACAGTATAATTTTTAAGTGACTTTGTTTTTCTTTTAGAAGCAGTGAAATAATAACTTTTATATTTATTTCACTGAAAGATACATATACAGCTAGCACTGGATAAAGACCAGCAGTAGCTTATCATAATATATGACAAAATACTAAATAGGCCCAAACTAATCAGATCTGCTATTACATATTTGTGATATCTGAATGTTTGATGTATAGTAAAACCTTCTCAGCAAACCTACAACCTCTCTTCTTAGTTTTAAGACAAATTTTCCTGCCGTTGTCTGTGATTTTGTTCAAGAACAAGAGGCCCAGAGGACCTGTATAATTCATCTGGATAGATAGACAATCATGGTTCATATTCTCATTAAAACCAGAGATAAAGCTCCCAGGGGTGGGACAGACCCTGGAAAAATCCAGGTAGCATCTCTGTATTAGATTTCTCATGCCCTGCAATTACATATATGGTTATGGGTCGTATCTAAACTGTTGACGGCGGTACCAATTTAAGTCATCAAGTATGGGTTGAATATATGGTTAAAGGGTGGGAATCTCAACCATTTCCAAGTAATAACCTCTTTTTAGGCCATCCCCTTAGGTGAGGCTGTCAGTCCTTTGATTAGTTAATTTTAAATCCTAAAACTGAGGACATTTCCTAATATGATTGATATTCCATCACAAAATTGACGAGGATCTCCAAATTATCCCTTTGGTACAGCCTCTCAGCCCTGTGGGGTTTCAGTCCCTCCTGTACACTGTTAAATCCCTACCACATGAGAATGATTCCAACCAGATATTGTTGCTATTTACCAACATCTTAGAATGACGCCAGCAGTGAAAGTCCAATAAGAGGTTCTGAAGAAGTTATTTGAAGAAATTCTTGACGAACGACGGTCGGATGACAGATGCATATCATAAGTTCATTAGGTGAGTTAATTATATGTTATCTAATTATTGAACATGCAAATCCTGCCAAGAATTCTGGGAAATATCAAAGGAATGCCGCATTCTATAATGACAGATCAATAGGAATGCCTCATTTTATAATGACAGATCAATAGGAATGCCTCATTCTATAATGACAGATCAATAGAATAAACAGATCTATAACGAGGCAGGCCATGCGTGTGATGACTGCAGTTTACTTCATCAGTAAAGCCGATTACAAAAGAAGCTCATCACCATGGATACTTAAATGGGTTTACGTTGGTTCCCTCAGCAAGTCTCCCCAATATTGAGGAGAAATCACCTGAATTTAGTCTTCTTAGTCTGACCTCAATAAAGCGAATTCATCTGTGTATATTCACATTTCAACTGTGTATATTTACATTTCAACTGCAAGTCCATACAAAAACACTACCAGAAGAAATTGAATTCAAATGGATTTGAGTCTGTGTCGTTTTGATGCTTCTCCTTCCCTTTTTTGTAATGTGTAATAGAAAGCAAACGTTCAAGTGATGTTTTGGCTGTTTCGGGGAATGTCATTTGCACTAATGATAAAGATACTTAAATATATCAAATATTACCACAGAAAACGGAATGCTTATGCTTAGATCTATCATAATTATAAATTGAGAAGCTGAGGGCCTTTTTCTAAACAGTCATGGTCCAATAATTGCGGTTATCAAACTTGTCCGAGCTAGCATGGCAATGCACCTTACTATGAGGTTTGAATTGATCAATTGAAAACTTTTTGGCAATTGAATAAAGGGCCATAACTCTGTACATTACGTTCCGATTATTACGGTTATCAAACTTGTCTGAGCTATCATAGTAATGAACCTTCTAATGAAGTTTGAATTTAATCTGTAGTATAGTACTTGAGATATCGAGCTGACACCGTTCACGCTCGTCCCCATAACATAATACGTCCCGTCATTCGACGGGCGTATAAAAAGTCAGAAGGTGTTAATGAGCTGACCGATTGACACACAGGTTATACCAACACTTCCGTCATTAAATGGTAATCAATCAACAAGGGCAACTGTAGTCAACTCACTGTGAAACGAAGTCGTTGAACTCATCTGACCACTGGGCAGGCTTGGTCAAAGTTGGCGTTGGATTTCTGAAACAAGACAGATATTAATACGTAAGACAGATCCTAAGTTACGTTTTGTAATCCCTAAGTTTTTGTTAATATTCAAATATAATCTAATTAACAACAATCTATCATGTCAACAAAAAATATATCTTCTATTTCAAATAAAAAAATAAAAAAATGTATGTCCTATTTACAGATATGATCATTTAAGGACGTGCCAGGTTTTGGTGGTGGTGGAAAGCCGGAGTACCTGAAGAAAGACTTTCAACCTGCTGACAGTACCTGGTGACAGCTGCCCCTTGTAGTGGTTGTAGACGGTCAGATGCCTTAACATTTGGCCTACGCGTCCCTTCTATTTCAAAGAGGCATTTCAAAAATTTAGAGGGACTTTAAATCCTTACATGTATTTCTTGTTATATCACATCGACAAGAGTACTGTAAACATCAGCATTGCCCACAATATATTGGTGAAAAGGAAATACTTGTCACTGATCTCTATAGGATATTGTTTTAATCACTTCTTTGTAAATGATTTTGATATTTAAACTGCATGGTTTATATAAAAATAATTTTTTTTTTTTCAAAGTGCATCATTTTATAGGCAGAATCTTTCTGATGCATTGTGCTATAAGTGGTAGCTTTTCAGTTTCGAATGTGCCAGAGGAATAAGACAAGGCATTAACTATGGTAAAACTAGTATACTGTTCATCAAGGGCCCGCCATGTACCGGACTGTACTGTTCTATTTTTAGCAACAGTGACCTTGACCTGAAAAACTTTTTAAATTTCTACTGCACATATCGGTATACAGAAACAAAAGTTTGGGCAAACAGACAGAAAGAATTTAAATACAGATGGACGGACTGAGGGCCATCGTTATAATTATAAGGTACCGCAACTCCTATGAGTGCATGGCTCAATAAAACACAGCATTCCCTTGTAATGATAAACAAGTCTTTCTTTTCATCATACACCCCGACAGACCAAAGATTTGATATAAGACATTGGCACTACAGATGTTAACACGGTGTAAACAGATGGACAGCTTGATAAACGATAACTAAGTTCCTAATATTTTCTCAAAATATTTTCCCCTATTTAAACACTAACCTTGGAATTTTGAACAGTGCTCTCATTGGATGAAGGTCAGCCAATGGGGGCTCTCCATCTGCCAGCTCAATGGCTGTGATTCCCAAAGACCAGATATCACATCGCAGGTCATAGTTGTACTCCAGTTGTCGTTCACAGGCTATAACCTGTAACACATGTAAAAAGAATCCCATTTAATTTTCACTCACCGCAACCTATAATGCAGATAAAATGAATAAAAATATCTAATGCTCACGTTAGTATAACCTGTAATGCAGATAAAATGTAAACATCATATTAGTCTCACTCACTGTAACCTGCAATGCAGGTAAAAAGAAATACCATATTAGTCTCACTCACTTATATATTATAACTAAAGGTTTGTTATTGTGAACAAAGACACCCTCACTCACTTATATATTATAACTAAAGGTTTGTTATTGTGAACAAAGACATCCTCACTCACTTATATATTATACCTAAAGGTTTGTTATTGTGAACAAAGACATCCTATGTCTTCCCTTATTAACCAATAGTCTCTCCCTTCCGTTGCAAGATTAAAATACTACGTCAAATAACTGAATATACAGTTAGGTATTAGAGAAATTGCCTACTAATAAATTATAAAATACATATTTGAGTTAGTGCAATTTGAAAGTCATGACATGGAAAGTCACAAAACCTTAAAAGCTCAAAAGTTAACAGCTGAAAAGTTTGCACTTATTTGCATGGGTACCTTGAGACAGTGACTTAATGGCAGTGCATTTCACTATCTTGGTGATACAAATATACTGCAAGATTCATTAAAAATATCTTCAATGGTTTAAAAGTTACAGACCAGACTAACCGTTACTGAAACGATTGTATTTATTTGACCTTTGACCTTGAAGACAAGATCACAGTGACATACTGACAGTGCATTGCACATCATCTTTAGGTGATGCAGGTATACTACAAGTTTCTTCATGATGTAATTAATGGTTTAAAAGTTAAAGCCCACACACGATTTTCTTAAAAAATCGCACTTATTTGAACTTTGACCCTGATTTCAAAGGAAATAATACTTGTGACTGTACATCATTTGTGGATGATGCAGGTTTATTGAGACACCTATAACGATTCAAAAGTTCGTATGTACACACAAACCAAAGTGTCCTGACTAACAAGGTTCTACTGTATACACACACCAAAGTGTCCAGACTAACAAGGTTCTACTGTACACACACACCAAAGTGTCCAGACTAACAAGGTTCTACTGTACAAACAAACCAAAGTGTCCAGACTAACAAGGTTCTACCATACACACAAACCAAAGTGTCCAGACTAACGAGGTTCGACCATACACACAAACCAAAGTGTCCTGACTAACAAGGTTCTACTGTACACACACACCAAAGTGTCCAGACTAACAAGGTTCTACTGTACACACAAACCAAAGTGTCCAGACTAACAAGGTTCTACTGTACACACAAACCAAAGTGTCCTGACTAACAAGGTTCCACAGTACACACAAACCAAAGTGTCCTGACTAACAAGGTTCTACCGTACACACAAACCAAAGTGTCCAGACTAACGAGGTTCTACCATACACACAAACCAAAGTGTCTAGAAGTGTCCAGACTAACAAGGTTCTACCATACACACAAACACAAGTGTCCAGACTAACAAGGTTCTACTTTACACACAAACCAAAGTGTCCAGACTAATTATAACAAAGTTCTACTGAACACACAAACCAAAGTGTCCAGACTAATTATAACAAAGTTCTACTGAACACACAAACCAAAGTGTCCAGACTAATTATAACAAAGTGCTACTGTACACACAAACCAAAGTGTCCACACTAACAAGGTTCTACTGTACACACAACCCAAAGTGTCCTGACTGACAAGGTTCTACTGTACACACAAACCAAAGAGTCCAGACTAACAAGGTTCTACCATACACACAAACCAAAGTGTCCAGACTAATTATAACAAAGTTCTACTGAACACACAAACCAAAGTGTCCAGACTAATTATAACAAAGTTCTACCGTACACACAAACCAAAGTGGCCAGACTAACAACTATCTGTAAGTGTGTAATCAAGGTTCTACTGTACACACAAACCAAATTGCCAGGCTAACAAGGTTCTACTGTACACACAAAACAAAGTGTCCAGACTAACAAGGTTCTAATGTACACACAAACCAAAGTGTCCAGACAAACAAGGTTCTACCATACACACAAACCAAATCGTCCAGACTGACAAGGTTCTACTGTACACCCAAACCAAAGTGTCCAGACTAACAAGGATCTACAATACACACAAACCAAAGAGTCCAGACTAACAAGGTTCTACCATACACACAAACACAAGTGTCCAGACTAACAAGGTTCTACTATACACAGAAACAAAAGTGTCCAGACTAACAAGGTTCTACCGTACACACAAACCAAAGTGTCAAGACTATCAAGGTTTTACTGTACACACAAACCAAAGTGTCCACTAACAAGGTTCTACTGTACACACAACCCAAAGTGTCCTGACTGACAAGGTTCTACTGTACACACAAACCAGAGTGTCCAGACTACACACAAACCAAAGTGTCCTGACTAACAAGGGTCTACTGTACACACAAACCAAAGTGTCAAGACTATCAAGGTTTTACTGTACACACAAACCAAAGTGTCCACACTAACAAGGTTCTACTGTACACACAACCCAAAGTGTCCTGACTGACAAGGTTCTACTGTACACACAAACCAGAGTGTCCAGACTACACACAAACCAAAGTGTCCTGACTAACAGGGTTCCACAGTACACACAAACCAAAGTGTCCTGACTAACAAGGGTCCACAGTACACACAAACCAAAGTGTCCTGACTAACAAGGGTCTACTGTACACACAAACCAAAGTGTCCAGACAAACAAGGTTCTACCATACACACAAACCAAAGAGTCCAGACTAACAAGGTTCTACCATACACACAAACACAAGTGTCCAGACTAACAAGGTTCTACTATACACAGAAACAAAAGTGTCCAGACTAACAAGGTTCTACTTTACACACAAACCAAAGTGTCCAGACTAATTATAACAAAGTTCTACTGAACACACAAACCAAAGTGTCCAGACTAATTATAACAAAGTTCTACTGAACACACAAACCAAAGTGTCCAGACTAATTATAACAAAGTGCTACTGTACACACAAACCAAAGTGTCCTGACTGACAAGGTTCTACTGTACACACAAACCAAATTGCCAGGCTAACAAGGTTCTACTGTACACACAAAACAAAGTGTCCAGACTAACAAGGTTCTAATGTACACACAAACCAAAGTGTCCAGACAAACAAGGTTCTACTGTACACACAAACCACAGTGTCCAGACTAACGAGGTTCTACCATACACACAAACCAAAGTGTCTAGAAGTGTCCAGACTAACAAGGTTCTACCATACACACAAACCAAAGTGTCCAGACTAATTATAACAAAGTTCTACTGAACACACAAACCAAAGTGTCCAGACTAATTATAACAAAGTGCTACTGTACACACAAACCAAAGTGTCCAGACAAACAAGGTTCTACTGTACACACAAACCAAAGTGTCCAGACAAACAAGGTTCTACTGTACACACAAACCACAGTGTCCAGACTAACGAGGTTCTACCATACACACAAACCAAAGTGTCTAGAAGTGTCCAGACTAACAAGGTTCTACCATACACACAAACACAAGTGTCCAGACTAACAAGGTTCTACTTTACACACAAACCAAAGTGTCCAGACTAATTATAACAAAGTTCTACTGTACACACAAACCAAAGTGTCTAGACGAACAAGGTTCTACTGTACACACAAACCACAGTGTCCAGACTAACGAGGTTCTACCATACACACAAACCAAAGTGTCTAGAAGTGTCCAGACTAACAAGGTTCTACCATACACACAAACCAAAGTGTCCAGACAAACAAGGTTCTACCATACACACAAACCAAAGTGTCCAGACTGACAAGGTTCTACTGTACACACAAACCAAAGCGTCCAGACTAACAAGGTTCTACCGTACACACAAACCAAAGTGTCCAGACTAACAACTATCTGTAAGTGTGTAATCAAATCCAGTGTGGGCTCAAACTTTGTAGCACAGATTTAATTATCTTATCAAAATTTGTACAACAATTAATCATGTGATAAAATATAAAGTACTAAAACAGGCGATCATAAATAAGTAATTTTAAAACCAAATTCAAACTAACTAATTAGCTAAATCAACGATTAATTTTCAAAAACAGTTTTCCTGAAGTTTGTAAACGATAAAACTTACACAATAGATATAGGCATATTTTATCGATTCCAACATCGAAATTGTTAGACATTAATTAATTGTAACAAGAAATCAATAATAATTACAGGATTACATTGCTTTATACTTAAGTAATCACTCACCTTAAAATAGAATATGTAATCAAATCCGGTAATGATTTGGTCGACTCCGTGTACACACAGAGCAAAAGAAACATGTCAGAATCTTGCCCTAAGCTGGTCAGTATAACAACATGAGGTTCACTGATGTTTTATCTGTACGAATTTTATTCTTTTCTGAATATTAATAAGTACACTTTAACATGTAACATCGGGATCTTGGTATTTGCCCCTAAAGTCATGTACAGGTTATACTGTTTTTATCTCCTTACGGTAAATGTTGTACAATTTTGATAAGAGTAAATGCTGTCAAGCTAAGTAATATGTAATCTACTGAGAATCTAGCAGACACAATCGTCTTTCATATAATTCTTCCTAGTTCTTGCATGCCACGCTGAATTGTCCTGAAGACTTATGACAAACGCAATCCCCGAGAATCTCCGAGATAAATTAGATTTCACAGTAAGGCTGGAATGGGTAGCCGAGTACCCGGTTAGGGTTCAGTTAGGAGTACGGGTAGCCTTGTACCCGGTTAGGGTTCGGTTACAAGTACTATCTGGTTAGCAAGTCTATGTACTCGAAAACCGTCAAAAATGCAGGTAAATATTTATTGGATTTTCTTGGTCAGAAATGTCGCATCTGACTGCTACCTCGAAAACACTTGTGATCAGTAAACTTGCTACATATTTGAGCACATGTTTACAATAAACTAACATGATACCGACTGACATTCTGTTGAACAATGTAACTTA